ATAGTACAGTAGTAAGCGCATTCGGTCTAGGAACTTTGCAGATGACAAAAAAAAATTGTCTTAAACTCCTCCGTTAAGCTCCGGAAAGCACATTAAGCTGCATCTGAAGTCGTGCCCACGTGGTTATTACCCGCTCTCTTTTATTTGATTCTATCTATAGAGGTGAGTGCCCCTGGAATGGGAATATTGATAGGGTGATAACGACGTTTCCACAAGAGCACAAGCTTTCAATATAGATGGCGCAAATAGGGCGAACGGGTCATAACCTCGAGCTGCCAACCATCTTATTTTCTATATGACATATCCTGCAGAAAGTTTTATCGTTTTCATCAATTAAATCTGTTTGATATTCATTTAAAATTAAATGTTTTTATTAGTTATATATTTTGTTGTATTATAGTCTGTTCTCTCATTCTCTCGGTGTAATGTCTACGAAAATATATAATTCATAGTCAAGAAATAATCTTTTATTATATTAACCAAGAGCCAAACCCCACACAAATCACTCGACAATAACAACAAACAAAAGATATTTAACATTTTAGTTTATTTTTATTTTCGAAATAGCTTTGTCTTGAATCGAATTTAGCAAATTTAGTCATAACTTTAATAATTCAGTAAATAAAAAAACAAAATCTTTAAAAAAATAGAACCGACTTCGAACTTAAAAAAAGTGAAATATAATACATATCTCAAAAGAGACTTATTCAAGAAAATGCTATTAATGTCAGGCGAAGTTTTTCTATAGGTTATTAATTGAATGATAGGATATTCAATAGTTTGAAGACGGTCCTTTTTTTAGTCTTTATTTCATGTTTTTAGTAATTTTAATATTTTTTTATATGCCTATAATATAATACTAACACTAAATATACTTTTCTGAAAACCGCGTCAAAATCGGTTCAGCCAAACGCGAGATAATCGCGCACAAACATACATACATACGGGTCAAACTGAGAACCTCCTTTACCGAGTTGGTTAATAAAACAACCAAAAGCATTGATTTATAAATATGTAATAAATAATAAAACAAGATCATTGAATAAGAATATTAATATATTCATTGTTAGAATCAATAGAACTTTCTTACACAAAATCCTCCACGAACATTTAGCGATCAGGAAGCTTTGCGCCCGGTGGATACCTCATAATTTGACTGAGGCTCAAAAACTCCATCGTGTGGATTGGTGTCGTAAAATGATTGAAAGATTTAACGGAGGTGACTCAAATGCTGTGTTCGACATACTAACAGGTGACGAAAGCTGGATTTACTGTTATGATCCTAAAACCAAAAGACAATCTGCTCAGTGGGTGTTTCCTTTCGAGGAGTTGCCAACTAAAGTGAAGAGAGATCGAAGTGCGGGAAAAAAAATGGTGGCCTCGTTCTTTGGAAGGATAGGTCATTTTGCAACAATTGTGTTAGAGGATCAAAAAACAGTTTCTGCAGAATGGTACACTACCAATTGTTTGCCACTTGTCTTGGAAAAAGTTCGAGAGAAACGACCTCGTAGTAGGATCCTCCTTCACCACGACAACGCCTCGTCGCACACCGCCAAGCGAACGATCGACTATTTGGCGACATCAAACGTTGATAGTACTCTTAATCTTATAGTATTTAAACAACGTCCTTCGATTTCAAGACGATTATGCAGCACGTATTTTTATGCAGCAGTTTTGCAATGCGCGGCTAGTTTTTTGTAATTTTTTTTGATCCGTAAATATTACTGCTTCCTGTTTGTCCTGGCTTACCATTTTTACATTCCAGTTTTTTAAAGTTGGCGTTGGCAACACTAGATTATCCAAGCCGTGAGCCCAGTGCGGGTTGGTAGGTGTTAAATTCTATAAATGCAGCTGAGACCACGACTTAACTCTAGAGTGATAAGAGGGGAATTTACTAGATGAAGTCCGCAGGCATGTCTGCCAGACCTCGTTCCTTTTGTTCAGAGTCAGACTACAAAAATCACATGGCCTACAAAAATAGTTGACATGATATATAGGCATTATAGATTTAAATTACATTGTTTAATTATCTTTATTATTAGATTAAGGGTATGTTCCGATATACACTGCGAGCACTGCGCAGCAGGGTTGCCACCTTTTCGGGAATAAAAATCGGGACAATCAAGCAGTCATCAGAGACGTTTGGATTAGTTCGAAGTTTGGTCTAGTCATGGTCCAATCCAATATAACCCATAAGACGGACTACAGAAAATAAAACTAGTTTGTGATCTAATGTGTATTTATTTTTAACCGACTTCAAAAAAGGAGATTCTTAGTTTAAGACCATCCTAATCGGCCATTTAGTCTAGCTTTGAGCTAATCTTTATACATCAACGTGCCATTTTTCTACAAAAATGTTTAATGAGGTCATATACGTGCCATCAAATATTGCCATCCAATAACTCTTTATTTACTACAAAAAAGGTATTTTTTTTCTAATTGTACATTGAATTTCATGATTGTACCCAAAATATTTTGCCACATGCCACCAATGGCACGTGTGCCATTAGTTCGCCATCCCTGTCTAGCTAATCACGATCTGACATAACACAAAAAAGAATGAAATATATATATTTTTTTAAACAAGAACCAACTTCAAAACTTAAAAGTAAAAAAAAGAACAAAACTAAACTATTAAACTAAACATTAAACTATTTCCGTGTGTATTTTTTATTGCTTCGGGCCGCTTTCAATAGTTCTACGTCATTTTTATATTTGTTCACAAATTCTGAACAAGATATACCTATGTTGAGCGAAATTAGCAATTCTGCTTTTATTAAATCTACCGAGCAACGATTTCTGATATTAGACCATTTCATGGTCATTAGTGAAAATACTCGCTCAAAATATGCATTTGAAGGAGGAATCCTCAAAGCACGAGATACAACATTAAATAATGCGTTTAACTTTTGCTCCTTTGCGGCTTTACAAAGGCGAACGCGGTACATGCGGTAGATGGCACGCAACCGAGTGAGCTGAGATCACATTATAGTATTATCAAAAATCGGGACAAAATCGATAGGCTGTCGGGACGCGGGACAATGTCTTCGAAATCGGGACTGTCCCGACAAAATCGGGACAGGTGGCAACTCTGCTGCGCAGTGGTCTTACTGCTGAAAAATCCGTTCCGTTATGGACTGCCAGTACATTGCTACAGTACCCTAGGGAAATTTATGACGTCTTAAATTGCCGCCATATTTGTACTGTGAGCACTGGAGATTTCGAGGTAAGGTGCTCGCAGTGCTTTTGATCACGTGATCAGTCGAAACAGAATCAGAAAATGATAAGTTTCTAAATAAACAAAAAAAATACTTACGTTTATTTATAAGATGGATTTAATTGATAAATAATTTTTTTATACAATTTTCCAATTTTCTTTTGAAAAGAGGGAATCTTTATATTTATATTCACCTTGCATTAACAAATTTGAAAATGGCGCCAAAAAATAGGATTAACAGTATACTGGACTGCGTTCCGTTTTAAAAAGTCACCAGTATAACTAGCTATAAAGGAACGGGCTTCCAGTATACTAAATTGACGTCATACTGTTCAGTGGTCGCAGAGTATATCGGAACATACCCTAAGATAATGATAGAGTCGCAACACGTATAATGCTTGCCTGCCTGCTCATCCCGCCCCTTTTCTTGCTTTCGTATTATGCGCATTCGGTATTCCGTTCATAGAATGTCTAGGGAAAGTATAAAATAAATAATATTTTAAACATTACCTACACTTTTTAGGTATTCTATATATTTCCTGGATATTGTATAGAATACCGGATTATACAGATTTCCGGTAACATACCTATATAATGATACCAATGGAGCTATCTATAGTAATTTTTATACACACGGCTGCACGTCAGGTTACCACGATATGTAAAATTTTCGCAGTTGATTTTTAACTCTCCCTTCAATGCATTAAGGTTTAAATCGAGTGGTGAAATTTGATAGTTTTGTATAGCCTGACGTGCTGTTGATTGTACATTGAAAGTAAAATATTTGTATTGAGACCCCATGTTTCAAGCTGGAGCACATAAGCTCCCAATGCCTCTTTCATTGGGAGCTTATGTGCTCCAGCTTGAAAGAGGAGAACTGACCCACGCCACTTCACAGTGCCAATTTTAATTGGAGTAAAAATGCAAAATACATCGTCTATTATAATTATCCAATAATTATTACATTGTTTATAAATGAGACCCCATTATTACCAAAAGCTCTTACTTACACAAGATAATGTAGTGTTATAGTCTATAAAAATGCACGACTTCCAAAAGACGGAGAGCTCGGAACACATATGTTCAAGAGCTTTTTAAAGCTTGATATTTCAGTATGTACTAAGGGTATACATAACTCAGTACAGTACCCAGTGCGTAGATCAGGTGCTGGAGCACCTAGTGGCGGTGGCGCGAAACATACTTCTAGCAATTCAGCAATCGTTAGAAATGTGTTAATGCTTGAAGTTTTATTATCTCTGTTCCATTATACGAGTCTATTAATAATATTAATTATGTTTTGATCAATTATGCATTCGGAATGCTATACTGAAAAATATTTAGTTCAAATATTATATATAAAGTTCAAATATTACAAAACTTTTATTCCAAGCTCATTTTTACACCAACTTCTGAGATTTGCTGCTGATGATGATATTTCACAATTATGCAATCTAAAGCTACTGAGTGATGTATGCCCTTAGTCAGCGCCACTGGCTCAATGAATCTTGGCGTCCTAGGTGTAAAACACTGGAACTTATATAGATACATTTATTGAAGAATGTAATTTTGAAAATGACATAAGAAACTGTACTGTACAAAAGCAACTTTTTAAGTTTCAATTAATAGAAGCAAACAAAAACTGTTTGCCATGCCATGTTGCCCCAAAATTAGAACATCCTAGGCAATTGCCCAGTTTGCCTATATGTACAGGGTGGCTCTGCTCTTTGTACTTTCATATACTGATATATCAAGTGTTAGTAAGCTCTTGCTCAGTTTTGCGACTTTCTCTTAGACTATGTCAATCTCTTAGATTACAACAAAGAAAAAATTTGGTCAGTTGGTAATAAAGCTTTGGCTTTTAGCAATAATAATGATGGTGTTGCATTTAAGTATACTAATGATGTTGACCATTTACACTAATAATAGTATTGACAACATTATACCATCAACAACATAAAAAGTTGATTGTCCTAAACTTTAGGTAACACTAACTGAATGTTATATAAGACTATACATCTACTACATACTATGGATTGATTATTATTTACAAAATATAGTATTAAAACTGTACAAGTATTCATGCCTTTTTTATTAAATACCTATAAAATATTCTTAAATATAAACCAAAACAGAACATAAATTTAAGTAAATTCCAATTTTGAAAAGAAAAATAATAAATGAAACATTAAAAATCAGTCCAATTCAAATATCATTGTTATAATGAAATATGTTGCATGTGTATGGCATGCACTCAATATGTGTAAATACCTATTACAGTAAAAAAAAGATAACTTAATCCTAAAGAGATTACAAAATATGCATATTCATAATAAACAGTGTGAAATAATAAATTCTTAGTTGATTATTCAGTACAATATAATATATATACAATGGTGAATAGGCACTTCCTGGGTAGGCATATACCATTTTAGGCCAAATCTTACTTACCATCAAATCAGTTGTGAAATGACAACCCAGTCTTAGAATAAAAATAGTAGGTAAATACAGTAGGTATATATTTATTTTTTGAGTTTCAATACAGCCTATATCACACACATATGATATAACTTTCCATAGGCAAAAGAAGTTTCATAATCAATTTAGTAGTTTCTGAGCTTATTCAATGCATATAAAAAACTGACAACAACTGCACACAATGTTGTCAATATACTACATATTATTATGATTTCATAAATAAACAAAAAATACATTCATTGCTCATACAGTGATTATTATGAGGTGGAAATATTAAAGCTATTAATTTAAAGTAAAAATTATCTCCTATTGTTGCCTCTTTGATGACCTCTACCTCGTACATATGTCTTATGAGTGTTGTGTTTGCCAGAATGATCATTATTGGAAGATTGGAAGCGGTCAGACTTGGGTTGATGCTGAGGTGGGGCCGGGGCGACGGCTGCGGGAACGTGCGGACGCGCGGGGGCGTGTGCACCATTGGAACGGTCCGAAGGAGCCGCCGCTAAGCCAGCGGTGGCGGCGGGAGGTGGAGCGGGCTGCGGTTCACTCATATTCACCTGTTCATTGAACAGCATACAGAACTCGCCCACCTTTTGAATGTCACCCGATTTGCCTGAATACAGCGTGAGGGCAGCACGCCACAAGGATGCATAACCACGAGTTAACCTCACTATATCACCAGGTTGTAGCAATGCCCCAGGTTCGTCCCACACAGATAGATTCACGGAGGCGCTGGCGTCTGCCACACGCAGCGTCCGCACTTCACGGGCCTCTTTTGTTAAAGTCGGCGGGCCCACTTCTAGAACTATAAACACGGCGTTTATGTTTTTCATTCCAGGCTTCAAATCTTTAATTTGAACATATTCTAGGTTTGCCATTTTACGTCAAAATTGTTACAGGATCAGTGTGATCACACACAAGCACACAATCACACAAAAAGCGTGTTGTCTACAAAAATGTCAAATCAATCAGCTGATGATAAAAAAAATATAAAGCCATACCATAGAGTAAAAGGTGAAAGATTTATAAGTTTTGAAGGGAAACCAGAGTCCATACCATGGAGTATATTATATGGGCCATACTACACTAACGCCTAGCTCTGAGAATAAGAAAGTATATGTCGCATCATCATTACGAAGATCGTTTGATTTAGTTTCTTTTATTTTAATTGCTAGTTACTCGATTACTTAATTACTCGATTGTAAAGAGAGCGTGATCATCGATACTTTTAATTTTATTAGAATGGTGACACTGACTTTGACAGTTCGTTAATAAAAAGCAAGTTGCCGCCATTTTGGCACACATTCTGTTTCCGATCGCCGAGGAGTAAAGACATCCGATGACATCACGCTCATCTCGTTATATTTTCGTAAGAAAAGTGATAAAATGGAACAAATCCACGTTGGTATACCACGCCTGCAGTGTTATTTCAAAGGTAGTCCCCTGATATGGACGATCTATTTGGGCTTCGTAATAGCCCCTTCGGACTACCCGCCGTTATATATAAAAATAACATGAGTTCCCTAAATCAAACTAGATGTCGCTACGGTACTTTCATGATTTCTCCATGACCAACCTTTCCGGTTTTCTTTCATGTATAAAAGTAAATTCATTTTCAAAACTCAATAAACAACTCATATTCTACTTGTACTTTTTCCTATTTGTATTGATATCTACTTATAAGTTTCGAACTGTGCAAATTTCAGTTTTTTTAATATCTTAAAAGTAAGCGAAATGACTATCTTGGTCCATTCGTTCCCTGCAAAAATCAATTTTTGCTAGAGTCGCCATCTAGTGGAGATGCTTTTTAAGTGCTTTCTTTTTTTTAAATGATTTTTTAGTGCTTTCTGTTTTTATTTAAAAATCTTCCCCATTGCAAGATAAAGTGTCATGAAAGCAAAGCCTTTTCATGAAAGTGAACAATAAATAAAATTATACAATGCGTGGGGGGTAAACAGATTTAAACACTCATATTGGCGTGGTGGTAAAAGTATTCTGTGGATGTTGAAATCCAAAGAACCAATCAAACGTAAAAAAAGAAGACTATAGTAGCCACAACGAAGGCTGCATGTTTCGTTCTTTCATCTTGTCATTATAAAAACATCGTTGATTAACAATTTAAACTAATATAACCTTTTTATAACTAATATTTTAATGATAATTATTAAAAAATAAAGCTATTATATAATCACATTAATTTAATTAAAATAAGATAGTTTTAATTATTATATATTATGGCTATTTATTTACTTATTTTCTACTGGTATCCCTTTTAAGTGTTATGGCAGTGCCGTATAAAATATAATTGACGCATATTATTTGGTATTTTTAATTCAGTAGTTTCTTATGCATTTCAACAGTTAATTTTTAGAATAGTGTTGCGTTTTGTCCAAGTGGATCTTTTAGTGGTTGCAATACGTTTTTTAACGATTAAGAAAAAAATAAAAACATTGCAAATCCAACAACTATGTTTACCATAAAGTCTTGTAATATTTGGATGATGTGTATGTGGTCATAGCAAAGTATTGTGACAGTTATCTTAAAAATGAAGGGGTATGCAGTCGTCATTATGAAAAAGTTTACAAATATTTATATTTAATTCGTTATGAAATTTCAACTATTCAATTGTATTAAGAAACTTCATAAAACAATATTTTAGTAATGTAAAAAAGAAATGTTTATTTGACGTGTGAATAATCACTTATTAAAATCACATCAAATAATTCCACACGAACTAGTTTTATTAAGAATTTACTAAAATATGTAAACAAAATTTTCTATTATGACATGACATTACCTTACGCTCTTGAGATTTTGTATATCATTTTTAAGGTATGAGACCTCCTCGTCCTGCGGTTCTTTACTCATAAAATTAAATTAAACACAAGTTTGTGAATTTAAGTTTCCGTTCATACTTTACTAGGTACCTAGGTCAGGCAAAATATCATTACAGATAGTTATTATTCACAAATTATTTTGGCGTATTTTAAAAGAAATATTTACAAATACCAACTTATATTATCTATTAAATACTTATAATACCGGGTATTATACGCGATTGTCTTGACCACTGCCGGTAAAAAAATTAATAATGCAGCGGGATATTTAAAAGTTAATATATTACCTATTCATATCATTATTCGCTATTTAAGCACTACGTTTTTAAATTCACACACTTACTTTATGATTAATTTTGTTCCAAAAGTAAAAGGTCGTGGTCGATCTACCACGTCACACTTACGGACACACACATATTCATTACCACACACACGCTAAACACTAACTACAACTACATAATACATGTTTATGTATTATGTAGTTGTAGTTAGTGTTTAAGTACGTGTTAAGTAAGTGTTTACTTACTTTATTACACTTACCCTTCCCCTCCCTCATCCCGTCAGCGTTGCTTCCATCCCTCTCCTTAGAGAGGGTACCCGATGCGGTGTTGGTGGGCCGAGGGGGGGACGCGGGCTTCTTGTTCCTGGTAGGCAGCCAAATTCCCGTGCCTCAGACCTTTCCATGCGGACCGGACGACGGGTCTCTGGTGGCGGGAACACGACAATGTTCCCGTACTCAAGTTCTTGAATCCGCGAAGGCTACCTTCTTACCTTGCAACCCTGTTGGTTACGATCGACAGAGTGGCTCGGAGGGCTGGTAGTGAGGGAAACCGAGGCGTCGACCGGCGTATGCTGAGTGTAGGAATTTTCCATCCTGCTCTCCGGTAGTGGGGTCTTCGGGGCCGGGCTACCGCACACACCGTTCGGTGTATGGGGTGATCGAGTCTAGGCGGGGCCACTATCAGAATGTGACTAAGGAACGGAATACCGGTGACTGGTTTGGCTCACGCAGGGCTGGACATTGGTATCCGGGGCTATCGGGGTGAGGGATTTACGAGGGTTCAGCTCGGGTGAATTCCCTCTCTTAGACGGGTTAGGGTGGAAATTTTGTTAAATGACGCATCTCTTGCCTTTGACGGGGGCAGTCTGGCGGGTTAGCGCGTTCGCTGGGCATTGCACGCCCTTAGTCCTGTCTGGGGGGGTTGGACTCAAATATTCCTAAGCCCTTCCCCTAACCCGAGACGGGACCTGCCCTGTTATAGGGGTGGGTCGAACGGGGACGGCATGCGCGGAAAGTGGTCCCGTTGGGGACCGTTACCGCGCGCTGTTCCCCAGCAGTGAGGGACATCGCTGATTTTTAATGGGTAGGCCTCTGCCTTTTGTCCAGCCCCATTCTGGGGTTGGTCCGCAGGGGAGAGTCCCACATAACCCGTGGAGCTCGCGCAGGGCGAAGCGGTTATGCGTAACGCATTTCTCAGCGTCAAAAAAAATGTATTGTCTCATTATTATCTATTTTAATGAAAACATATCCTTCTCAAGTATGCCAGAAGATTATCGTCTGAACGTAGTCGAAACAAACGCACTGCTCCCACGTAAACGAAATTCTCGTATGATCACAGATTGTATTGGTCGTCCTATTAGAAAGAGACAAATAGCCTCTGTACGTAATATCTCGCACGACTCGCTTTTAGCTGGGTGTACTCTGTCCTGTTAAATAGTACTAAGTTCATGGCTATCATAAATAAATCTCTTATCCGTCTGTGTAAATAACCTCAAATGTCAATTCAAAATCGGCATCCTTCTGTCACTGTCACGTTTTCCAAACAAAACATTTCGTTTCGAGGTTTTGCGGTGTTTATCGTTAAAATTTGCGTTACTTATATAATTATAAAGTTAATTTTCCATAAATGAAAACACAGTAATAAAAATATAACCTATCACTAAAATTGATCACGTATCATGTTCAATCAACTCGGCACCGCGAGCAACAACCCCAACAAGGACCTAGAAGTAACCTCGCCGCCTGATGATACCGTCTCATCGCTGGAGTTTTCGCCGCCGTCTGTACCACAAACATTCCTTATCGCCGGTAGCTGGGACTGCAAGGTGCGACACAATAATGTGCTTTTGTTTTTATACTTAAACAGTTCACAGTTTATCACAAAACAGACATTAGTTACAAGTTTTAGGCTGATACCCTTAAATTGAATTATTAAACAGTAAAAAAATGTTTCAGGTGCGATGCTGGGAGGTTGAGGTCTCGGGCAAGACAGTTCCGAAAGCAGCACAAGGCATGGATGGGCCAATACTAGATGTAGCTTGGCATGATGTAAGCAACTGCAGTCGATCTATTTATGTTACAACATTGTGTTGCATCTCAGTTCAAATACAATACAGTAAATTGTGTTTTTTCAGGATGGCACTAAAGTGTTTATGGCTTCAACTGATAAAAGTGTGAAATGTTGGGACCTTGCAGCCAATCAAACAATGCAGGTTGTGTATAAAATACAAACTTTATAATATCAGCAAAACATTTAAACTTAGTTGTGAAATTTGTAACATTAATTTAAGTACTTGTCTGTCTTTTTATGTGACCAAAAAACCAATCCTGTTGTCCTAAATTCACAGAATTTTAGTGTCCTGAGTAAGGTGGCTAGATTGCTCAAATGTGCAAAAAATTCAGGATTTAAATTTATTGTCTAGGATTTAAAAAACCTAATAACTTCATATTTCAATTTTTTCTGAGAAAAACACATTTTTGTTCAATTTGACAAATTAAAAATTATTCTTATACAATATGCTTAAAAAATCCTCTTGGTCCCTGGCACCCTGAGATGGGAATCGAACCCACGACCTTTAGCTATCCGGAAGGGTCGCCTAGATTTTTAAGCATTTTGTATTTAAATCAGTATGGCATTGTGAATGTGAAACTAATACAAAATAAAAAATTAATTAAAATCATTGTTAAATATCGACCGATCGCTTTGGAAATCTTTGGGGGAGGCCTATGCCCAGCAGTGGGCGTCTCTTGGCTGAAGTGATGATGATGATGATGATGATTGTTAAATATGGTCTTTAATTTAGTTTTTATTAAGTTGGAGGTATATTTATTTCATTTGTTACCCCACATTAACATCATGAATTGAATTTATATACGGGCCAAAGTCAGTCCTAGCGGAACATTTGAACTTAAGCATAAAATATGGGATGTCTGGCAACACTAGTCCTGAGTTATGTTTCATGAAAAGCAAATTTTAAGTATTAAAAAGCTTATAATGTTCATGTTTCTAAATCACATTATAACAAATAGGTAGCAGCCCATGATGCCCCTGTAAAGACTTGCCACTGGGTCAAGGCACCTAACTACACATGCCTCATGACAGCATCCTGGGATAAAACACTTAAGGTAGATCCAACAGCATGTTAAATTGTACAAAACTATCAAATCTTTTATATTTCTTTTTAAATGTTAACACAAAGAAGATTGCAAATTTTGCTCCACATACAAAGACAAATGACTGCACGCACACAGTTATTCTTATTAAATAAAAAAGATTACATTAATGTAATATGCTCATACAATTTATACACAACTTTTAAATTGAAATTGAAGCCAAATTACTGCTCTAGTTATTCTATTAACAGTTAAATATCAATTGCAACACAGTTAAATATCAAGGAGCTCTGTAGCGTAGTGGATAAGCGCCGCGGCCCGCGATCGTAGTCGTTAAGCAACTTTCGCAAGGGTCTGTCACGGGATGGGTGACCAAAAAAATTATTATCTCGAGCTACTCCGTGCTTCGGAAGGCACGTTAAGCCATTGGTCCCAGCTGCATTTGCAGTCGTTAATACCCTCCAATCGGCATTGGGCCGGTGTGGAGGGTCATGGCCCATCCTCCTTAACCATCCATTAGGAAGGCCTGAGCCCCTGCAGTGGGGACGTAATAGGGATGGTGATGATGATGATGATCAATTGCAATTCTAGCCATAGCTGTTTCATGTGATGTGTTTTGTTACAGGATTAAAATTTTGATTTTAGCCCTAAAATTTCAAACTGCCAATGTGTGAGATTCAGCTAGAGAATGCACTTTGGCGTTTTAAAATAAACACTGTAGAGAAAAATTACTCTGTTATGTAATAATAACTGTTTTTTTTTTTCAGTTCTGGGATGCTCGCAGTTCTGCACCAATGATGACGATGAATTTATCAGAACGATGCTATTGTGCAGATGTTGTAAGTATATTCATAATATAAAAGATATATAATTCAATATTAGACAATATCACATACATTTTCTAATTTCAAAATAAGTCAAACCAGAGCCATTTCTACATTGACTCAACCGAGATCAAATTCAAGACCTCAGAGACGGCGATACCTTAAAACGAGTGAGCCACTCTGCTGTGGATGGATGATTATACCTATATAAATCTACTGATCTTTCTGAAAGAGTATCAAATAGGTTAGGGCTTACCCTACGCTACCTTAGTACAGGGTTTTTATAATCTGAAAAGCCTGCTTTTGTTTAGGTACCGATTGACAATGACAGTTTTTCAGGATTACCCAATGGCTGTGGTTGGCACGGCGGATCGCGGTATCTGTCTCTACACGCTGGAAGGCAAGCCGGCCGAGTTCAAGCGAGTGGAGTCTCCGCTAAAGCACCAGCATCGCTGTATCGCCATATTCCGCGACAAGAAGACCAAACAGCCCACGGGCTTCGCGCTCGGCAGCGTGGAGGGCCGCGTCGCCATACAGTACGTCAACCCCACCAACCCCAAGGAGAACTTCACCTTCAAGTGCCATCGCTCCACCGGCACTACGGGAGGATACCAGGTACAATACAATCACGATTGTAACCTGGTTTTTTTACATGGATGTAAAAAAACCAGGGGTAGTCTGTATAATTCATTAAAATTATGTACTTAACTTATGCCATTTTCTCAAGTAATTATTTCTCTCGACTATAGATGTGAGTGTACGACCCTGCTGTCCGTCCGTCCATCTGTCTGTCACCAGGTTGCATCTCATAAATTGTGATAGTTAAAAAGTTGATGTTTCATTTTTGCTTCATATTTTTCTTTTTCATAACTGTACGGAACCCTACATGTGTGAGTCCACTTCACACTTGGCCAGTTTATCAGACTGAACAAAATGTTGTTGATGTTAATATTAATAATTTATCCTGTTGTTGCAGGATATATATGCAGTTAACGACATAGCATTCCACCCGGTGCACGGCACGCTAGCGACGGTGGGCTCGGACGGGTCGTTCTCGTTCTGGGACAAGGACGCGCGTACCAAACTCAAGCCCTCCGAGCCCCTCGACCAGCCCCTCACCAAGTGTGCCTTCAACCACAATGGACAGATCTTCGCATACGCTGCTGGATACGACTGGTCCAAGGTAACTGTTTATTCTAATTAGAAACATGCACATTGTCTTCGCTGGCTACTATTGCACAATGTAAAAACCTCTCTAATACCTCTCTGTCAGGTGACCGGAAATTGGCAGTGGTTGTCCAACCGAATGCTATATAGTAATAATAACCAACTTTTTATTAGAAAGTCTTTTTTATCACTGTTATATTTTCTATTAATACTAGTGAAGATTATTCCATAAAATATGCTGTTAATTTTTTTTTTAAAGGGTCATGAACATTTCAATCCAGCTAAGAAAAATTACATATTCCTGCGACCCTGCTATGAAGACCTCAAGCCGAGATCAACAACATGAAAAATATTGATTTGTATTTTTTTTATTGTGTTAAAATAAATAAACAAAAATGTAATTTTGCTTGTGAACCTGTCATCGTAATTTTATATTATGTACCTACACATTATACTTTCTTAACAAAATATGCAAAATTACTATATGGATTCACAAATTAAAGATAAATTGTACATAGACAGAATGTTTATAGTTGATTCAAATAAGTACATGAGTATTTGTAATCTGTTGATTAATGAAATTCATAATGATAATAATAAAGGAACGATTTTATTTAGAATGTGGTACCAGGACAGATATAACAATCTTTGAGTTTATAATAACAACAAATTAGATTTTTACATTTACTCACATATTACATATTTATTCTTATAGCAACCTTTAGATTATATATAGGTATAATCAAAAATGGCAACTTTTTAGCAAATTTACCTGAACCATAGATGATGGGAATGCTGCAACAAAAACTGAAAAATAAATAAAGTAGCATGCCATCTAAGTACTGTTACAAACACAATATAGCACATACATTAAAATGTAGTTTTGTTAGTTTGTGTTTTTATTGAGTTTTAGGACCTATATGTTCATATGAGGTAGACAGAGAAGCTTGGCTGTATATGACTGCCAATACAAGCTATAAAATGGGCTCTGCCCAACTTTTCCATGAAAATGTTTTTGGGATAATATATGTTAATAGGTTTAAAACTATATGAATTTGTTTAGTTATAAACTAAAAAATAGTAAAAAGATGTTTTAACAGTACTTCATATATATAAGTTTATATTACTAAGATTTCTATTCAATACAAAGTTTTAATTCAATGCTCATCATGTCCCTCATGACTGTGTCCACCACCACCTAACATCTTCTCAATGCCCACAGTGACTACTGTCAATGCTAGTCCAACTGAGAAACCCCTGAAAAAGACTGCACGAGCATGGCTCCACCTTGTGCCAAATCCAGGGTGATATCTCCATGCCTCATTCCTGAAATAAGCGCAATGTTAGTGAAATTGAACCGATTTGTAGGAAGTCAGCAATCAATGTTTTTCTTAGTCACCTGATCCATGGATCTTTTAGTCCCTTTTGAGCTAACGCTTTCTCAAGTTCTTCTAACTCTGGTATTCCTTTAACTTGAAATTGTGAATAATGGGGAATTTTGTATGGAGGCTCATGTCCATGACCACCCATTTTAAATTCTAATGATTCTGTAACAAAAAGAATTTGGTTTTAACAATAACAACATAACCTAATACTGATTACATAACCAGTTGTTTTTTATAGGATTATTCAAGGTACTGAACAAAATCAAACAAGTTTATAAACCATGTTTTTAAAGATATTACCTTTATCGATAGTTAAGTGAGGCAAATAGAAATATCTGGGACTAAAATATTTGACACTGATTGATAGACCAATTTCAATTTGACATTATTTTTTTTAAGATTATCAAAGGACGCTAGCATAAACAACCTGCTGTTTCTATTAAAAGGTATTAAACATCCTTTTAACGGGAAGGTACAGGATCATCAAGAGGAAAGTATGTATATTTTGGAAGTCAACTCCTTTTTCATTTATAAACATTATAGGCAGTTTTGAAAGTGAACCCCTTAATGAGAAGTATTTAAAAAAAAATAAAGAAACTACTGTAATTTATGTCATTATCATTGGATGGCAGCAAAAATTGTAGGCAAAGATTACAATATATTGTAGGATTATCTCTATGAGTGGCGGACTAACCTCATCGGAGGTCCGGGCAGAAGGCGGACCGCCCCTTCCGCCCTCCTCTTGCTTTCTAGTTATGATATGAATATAAAAAATCTTATAAAAACCACTATCACAATAAACAACCTTTTTAATGCTTAAAGAATTAACTTTGTCATTGGCACTAAGTCCTTGGTTCTCCTAGTTCTGCATTACCTTTCTGTACTATACAAGAAAATCGACTGTCTTCACATGTTAGAGAGATTCTATCAATTGGTGCCTGTGCGTATCTCTAATAACGATATTATGGGTTTAGAGGCGCCACGGCGGCGTCCGCAGCATTTAACCACGCCTCGCACCAGGCTTACCAAGATATTGCTTTTAGCCCTAAATTTAGGGCGGAAATAAACTAATGGGGCTTTTTTGGGGCTCAAGAAAATTTAGGGCTAATTTTAATACCAAAAAAAATTAAATAAATTAGTAATAAAAAAATCAAGTAATGTTTAAAAATTACCTATTAAATCTTTTTATTTGGTTTAAAATAGATAAATCAACATCGTTTGCAACATACAAAAGAACTTTGTTTTCTCTTCCAACGAGGAAGTATTTAAAAAGAAAGAAAGAACTTAAAAAGCACCTCCACTAGATGGCGACCCTAGCAAAAGTTGATTTTTGCAGGAAACTTATGGACCAATATGGACAGTCCTTTCCGTTCCTTTTAACTAACATATTAAAAAACTGAAATTAGAAATATAAAAAAGTACAAATATAATATGACTTGTTATTTGAGTTTTGAAAACTAATTTGCTTTTAAACATGAAAGAAAACCGGAAAGGTTGTCATGGCTACTATATGACATTTTCTAATCTATGTATTTTCTGTAGTTTTTTTAGTCATCATAAAAGGTAGTATGCTTTCTGACTTCGATCATTAAATAGATTCGTCTTCGGATGCTTTAAAGAATTTAAGACTACATTGCACAAAATGTTCCGTGATTATACAAAATGTGCTTGGGCCTTCTCTTCTTAGTGAACTAGTACAAAAGACGGGAGAATTTCCTTATTCAATTATAGTATACAAAAGCACAGATCTTTTTACATAAAAATAAACTTTTTTAAACTACACCATTAAATCTGTGGGTAATACAAGCAGGACAGGGCTTTTTTGGGGTTTTTGATTACACCATTCAGGGTTATTTAGGCTTATTTGAGTTTGGTTTTAGGGTTTTATTTTGTTGGGAGTTGGTAACATTGCCTCGCACGCGAATCGTATATTCTGTGTTCTGTGGTATACGCTGCGCAAGCACCTAAGCAAATCAAATCATTTTTTGACCTTGTAACAGAGTACGTCACACTAGGCAAGTCTTTGTAAATAACTGTCAATTTCAAATAAAAGTAAAAAGTTGGGTAAACAGATTAAAATGAGGATCCCCCAAAAGACAACTTAAATGTATTTATTTAATGAATAAAAAGCGTTCATGACAATGAACATCTTGAGCTTACTTTTGAAATCATTCATGTTTAGTTTTGTTTGGTAGTTTATTGAACATAACTAGTTTATTTTATTTGCCTTGGTTTTGTACTTTCTTCAAACGACATTCACCTAAAGCTTATTTATCCTTATTATTTAAGTCGTATTATGGATATCACTCTTTTTAAGACATTTGTTTTGTTGTCTACTAGGCTTTTGTAAATATATAGGGATATTACTGTCATAATTTCATTTCTAACTAAGTGGATTCTTGCAGACTCCCTTTTCCTAACATCTTACAGCTCTTTTTTGCGCAATAAGGAGCTTTCTGACGCTTGTACTATTCCCCCAAATCGTAATACTGTAATTTATCATGGAGTGCACGTAAGCGTAATACACCATCAAAATCACTTGTCGATCACAATAGGGTTTTGTGATCGACGAGTAATTTTAAGAGTGCATAGTTTGCACTCGCAACCTTTTTACCAAGTTTTTCTATATGTGGTACATGAGTTATGGTATAGTCAAGTGTTATAGCGATGGACGTTATTCGCGATAGACAGTTATTCAACTAGTGATCTGCCTGAACCGCGATCACTCGTGATTCAGTTATACAATAACTATCTATTTTCCATAACGTTCTAAAATTAAACCAAATTCACTCGTATGTCAACAGCATAAAGTCGATCTTTGATTTGACGATCACCAAGAAGTAGCGATCACAGGTTTACAAAAACTGTCTATTATCCATAACGTTCTAAGGTTAGACCGAATTCACTCTTATGTAAATAAAATTAGGTTGATTGTCGGTTGCCTGGCTTTAATGTAGCATCGATCACCAAGAAGCAGCGATCACAGATCGCAGCGATACGTAGACATCTTTATATATTAACGCTTTACATTGACGGTCATGTAGTGTAATTTTAATAACGGTATAGAATGTAACACGTAATGTAGAGCGTTTAAATAATGTGGATCGCAAACAATCCAATCTGTCACGTGTGAATGAAACAAAAACAGGATGTCAGTACACGTGTGAATGAAATAGGTATATGCTAGTACGCTCACGTTGTTCGGGTTTCGGAGTGATCAAGTAACCAACCCAAAATTGAGCTTTATCGCGTTAGTATAAGGGTAAAATTCGGTTTGACTTTAGCGGTGTAGAAATAACTAGTTATCAAAAATAGACGGTTTTGATATCGGTGATTGGCGATCTGGTAGCGTTTGCGTTACGTGATTTGAAAAATGGATAACGACCCATCGCTAAGTGTTACCCAAAAACATTCTTCTTCTTTTTTAATTCATGAAGAAGAATGTTTTTGGGTAACACTTAGCGATGGGTCGTTATCCATTTTTACCCAAAAACATATGCATACTTTTGAATTGAATGAACTGTCAGTCAGTCTTGTTTCAGTACAATACTTTTATCTGTGTTCAATATAATGCCATTTGACCGAAACCATTCCCTCAGTAAGTACAACACCTCTTTTGATTTATTATTCAATGCACTTAAGTTATTTCTTTAAAATTATTATTCTTCAGTATTATGACATAATAGTTATGTATTATCTATGGAGTTCTGAGTTCTGTTGCAACACAGACAGAACACTGAGTATCGAACATAGAACAAAGAACCATAGAATTAATAAAGAACACTGAGTATCATAGAGTCGGTCGATTTATTAATAGTCTGTGGTTCGAAATTGCGACAGGAGAGTGCGGCTTTTTTTTTGTACTTATTAGCGTAAACAATAAAAATAAATGTACTATTTCTTTGCACTGGTTTTATAAAAATATAATTCTTTATATAACTGTATAAAGACGACCAAATATTCACCAGTGTTTAAATATAACTACCCATCTATTTTATTTTTTAACTTTTAGTGATAGGACGGGCAGGACGCATTTTGTCTATTCAGTGAGAGAATCGTGCTTATCTGACTGATTATTGGTGATTAATATGAAATACAATATAAACTATAATGTGTGAATTTTTGAAAGTGGCCGGGCTCTGGCTGGCGGCGGCGGTGCTGGTGTTAAGTGCATCCGCCGCCGGCTCAACTCTCCCGCGCCCCGGTGAGTTCACGATAATGCATGTTTTAGTGACAACCTGCATCATCATCGTATAATTATAATACCAGTATTAGTTATTGGTCATTGTAATTGTGAAAAAATTGCATATATTATCACTAGACAGTGGTTAAAAACCAATTAAGGAAATGAGATCTTAACCCGACGGTCAACAGCGGACAAACTTGGCTATAGGTAACAGTAAAAGTTTACTGATTTTAATTGAAGTAAAAATAAAGTCAACTAGTTATGCAGTTGGAAAACCGCCATAAGTTGATGTATAATTTAAAAAACTGCCAAAGAAAACAATATTCTAGAATGTAGCAAGAAAATTACATCCAAAAAATAACTTCACATGCAGTTATGATTCTTTATTCTTCTTAAAGTTCTGTATTAGTCATTGGGCAGTAAAATATAAGAATATACAATGCTTTATTATGTGTTAATAGATAGCTGCAGCATGGTGCTAAGCATAACAAATACTGTTTTTTATGATAAACATTCTAAAAAAAAGGTATAGAAATAAATGTTATGTGTCACAATAAATTTTATTCTGATTGGTTAATTATCAAAAAAACAGTGAAATTGTATCTATAGTATTGAAAGTACCCCTACTTGATGATGGAGACAACTGGCAAAGGAGACTAAAGGGAATTTTTCTCCCTGATAAAGATTTTTTACAATATATACGATACAATAGAGCTGCTCAACCTTTTCATCAATCTGGCTTAACAAAGAGGATTCATATATTTGTAGAACACTATTGATGATTCTTATTAAGTAACTGCCAGGATGTGACAGCAATTAAAAGGAATTTTAATTATAACATTTTTAATGTGCAAAATGAAATAAATATTTTTTCAACTTTTATGAGAATTTCAGAGCTTGCTTGCACAATCCATTTATATTGACCTGAGCTGGGGTGAAGCAGCCTTGCATTAAAGGTACTATAGACATGATGTATAGGGATTGATATCATGGAGTCTGGTATTATATTGACAGTTCAAATTATTTTTTTGTGACACTACAATGACTCGTATAAAACAAGAATGAAAGCTTGTCTGATTATTAATAAGACATGAATGTATCTAGCTAGTCAAATTTTGTAGTACAAGAATATTCATTGGGATATAAAGTGACTAAGTAACTCCTATATTTTACTTTACACTAGTCTGAATGAGGGAAGAAATTGGTAAGCTGCCAATGTGATGCCCCCAAATCATAAGTGTATTGTTTTGGTATGTGGAGATTTTCGTTTGTGGAATTGAACTTGGATAATGTGTGTAAACGCTCACACTTTATTAATCACTCACTATCATTGATATTAAACAAGAGTTTGGAGTAATCACCAACATTGTTTGGATTTTCAATACAAAAAGTTTGATGGAATAGTCAGTGTGATTGAATCACTCTCTTGCCAGAATAATTGGGCAATATTTAACGCAAAACTAAACAATACTCTTTGCATTGTAATAAAATTGCTGTGGGTGCACTATAACATCAATTCTTTGACTTCCTGTTTTCAAAATTTTCTAAGTACACAATTCTTCTTCTCTTACTTCTCAGTACTTGTTCTACTGTTAAAATTAATCTTAGAAAGATAAATGAAAAACTATTCGCCCTAGTTTAACAGATTCGGTGGTTTAACTTTCATGGGTATGTACTTTTCCGTTTAATGGAGCTACCGGAAACCTTAGTAAATGTCTTTGTCGCTTTTTCAAATACATGTAAGTTTCGTTGCTAGCGAGCCTCATTCCGTCAATGTTTATGTAAAATACTTGAAGCAGTCAAAAACCATATCTTTTTTAAGTTGAATAAAAATCTATCCAGCATAAAAAATATGTAGTAAAAATATTTTATTATGCTTGACCTTACAGATGTTTTAAAATTGTGTACTGCTTATTAAAAAATTAAATAGATAACATGAATAGGACGATTATTTATACTTGTGTCGGCAAAAGAAATGCGCAGGAAGTAGCTAACGCGTATCAATAAATGAATGGAACGTTCGTCAGAGTTGTATTACTGCTTTATGAAGGGTGATTGCTCCGTACACTTGTACTCATTTCCCACATCTGTTGAGCTAGTTATTGGTGCAGCAATCAATTTACTCGCCATCAAATGCTACTGGACTTGATTGATCGGTTTACGACACACATATTACAGTTCTCTATACGCAACTTCGTCTGCAACGATTTCGTAATTGAGATCCTTAGAATTAATTTATATAGTCTAATTCATAATCTTTGAATTGTTTTGTGTAGTAAATTTTAGTCAAAACCATATAGTACATCATTTTACAAACTTGCAGAAATTGTGAGCCGAACAACGGCGACGATGTTACCATGACATTACATTGACTATAAATAATAAAAATGGCACCCACCATTAAATAAATACCAAAACCGGCAGTATTTATTATCATTACTTTCTTTAAACTTATTAACAGTGCATGATATTAATTTGTTGGAGTACATAACAAGTTTAACAAGAAACGCCGGCCGCTGCCGCGTTGTAAACATTCAAGTTGTCGAGTGTAGATCGCGCCAGTTCTATTTACGTGACAGAAACAGGTCAAGCGGGGTGGAGGTGGAGGTCGGAGTTGGACACAGAAACACTTCACGCGTTTATAAACAGACAACGACGTGTTTATAAAATCAATGGAACATTTAAAACAAGCAGTACAGCGCTCATTTTTTTTTAAATATTAGGATTGTAGTTTTGTTTATGAGTAATTTTCTATAGATATTTTATTAATTATGATATTAATGCTGTGATGCGTGACGATACTTGTAACAAGGATAATATAGTGTGGTGGAGGCAAGGATCGAGACCAGCGAGGCCGGACACGTCGCTGGTTCGTTGACTGCAAGCGACGACCGATGCGGGAAACCGCAAACCAGTACCCTCTCCCTCCCTCGTCATTACTATTATCTAACAAGTGGTTAAACTTAGCATAGGTACCTCCGTATTGACAAATATCTACTTATTACGATAGTGATCTCTGTGTGTAGTGATCAATTCCATCCTTATCGGTCTATCCTTCTTTCCGAGAAGATATAGGTAATATTAGAAGGTATTATTAAACGAGTAATATGCCGCGTCATACGTATGTATATAGATGACTACATATACCTAGATGACTATATCTTCTTATATATAAAAATGAATCGCAAAATGTGTTGGTAAGCGCATAACTCAACAACGCCTCGACCAATTTGGCCAAATCTTTTTTTAAAATGTTCGTTGAAGTTCAAGGATGGTTTTTACGGCGAGAAAAATTAGAATTATTGCTGGAAAAACCCTAAAAATAGCCCTTTTCTTTTTCCCATACAAATGATTTGTAACTAAAACGTAGTCAATTTGAGCTTTATTGCTATGGTATAAAGTTCATATTAAATTACAAGCACTCACTGTTGTCTAAGCAATGTAGGCTTTTTGACAGGACGAAGTCTGTCGGGTCAGCTAGTGTAAAATAAAAAAGAGAATGACAGGATCGATTTAGCTGATTTCTATTTTGTTTTGTGAACATGAATAAAATATGAAGGAAGGTTTTATGGAGAGATAAAATGTTTAAAAATACGAGGAGAACAGTAAAAACAATAATTTTCTTTACGGATACAAGCCATTTTCTCCCCAGGTGAACATTGACGTCAGTCAAAGCAAAAGAAAGGCGCATTAGGATTATCTTTGGTATCCTTTAGCCATGACCTTGGCAGCCCTTGGTATACCGTATGTAACATGCAACCTATAAGGCTGGTTTTAGTGTAACGCGGACCGTCCATGCTGATGATAACGCGATTAGCTATCAGCGCATTCTCGTCTCAGTGTCGTGCTGATCGCTGCGAAGTACAGACGTGACCAATTCTGAAAGTGTGCAAATTGTTGCAATATATTATTTATGCAAAAAGAAAGAATGACAAAGAAAAAGAACAGCACAGCGTGTTCATCGACTTCTATTTGCTTAGACAATTCCGATTTACGTCAATTGAACGTTATCGTACATTCAAAATCTTTCAAAAAAATGTCGCGACCGCAATTGCTTTCACATGTCTGATAGTTGTAGCATGACGTTCGCGAATGCCTTTCAAATGTCTTTTAGACAGGCCGTTGTTTTTAGACAGGCCCATCATTGGTTCACTACCAATCGCTTAGAGTTTGGCAAGCGAAACGTGACACCACCTATTTTTCCGTTTTCATATGGCAACAACATAGAACTGTCAGTTTGACACTACGTTAGACAATTCAAGAATATTGAATTTTGTTGTTTTTGCGAATTTGAACTTGTGTTTTTGGTTAAAAATTATGTCGAAGCCGATAAAAAGTTCATCGAGGAAACTTCTTTCCATCATGATTGACAAGTTTACTGAAGTGAAAACTGAATTAAATAAAAATTTCATGGAGAAATTACAACGATTAGATAAAGTTGTATCTTTTTTAGGTTAGTTTTGTATTATAATTTTGATACTTTCGTTTTAATTTTCTGTAATTAACTAAACAGATATTTTTTATAAAATATTGCTCTATTTCAGATAACTGTGATGGTGATATTCAACCAATAATGGAGGAGATAAATGCAATAAAAACTTTAGAAAAACAAGAAATGCTGAATTCGGAAACGCAGTACTTACAAAAAATTTCTTCAATGACAGGTCTCTTTTCTTGTTTTGATTTAAGATAGATTGATAGTATTCCTATAATATTTACATAGGTTTTTTATGATGTATTGGTTTTTATTGTTGACATCCAATGATGTCATAAGAATGTTTTGTTTAACAAGGAAATTCACAGAATTCATGAAACTAATCAAACCATGTAATTGTTATACATGCTAAATATGCACATAAACTTAACTAAATTAAACATAAATTGCATTCATAGTTGAATAGGTATTTAAATTATTTTGATGTATGTGTCTATCATTATTTGCTTTTAAATACATTTAACATATCTTTGTTTCAAAGTGTTTAATCTTTTATAGATGTAAGTATAAGGACACTAAGAAG